AAAAGCCATATACAGTATATACATAAAAAAACTGGGGTACACGTGACACCAGCCTGGTGTAACCCCCAGTCCTGCGCGGTTAAGTATGAGCTGTAAGGGTTCCCCCAACCATAGACATTTCTACTGCCTAAAAGTTAATAATCAGTACATTGTAAAGTGATATTTCAGACTCTATAATAAAAGTTACTCGTCTTTATTGCCGTGGGCGGTCTTGTATGAATTATTACATAAGAAAATTCACAATATAAAAAAAAAAAAAAAAAGTAAATATATGTTTGTATATGGGGCCTGATCAACAAATGAGCAATGCAAATAATTGTAAACATGTAAACTGTTATTTCATGATCTTGAAAGTGTAAAGCAGATGCATCAATGCAAGGACCAGCTTCTATAACTTGTAGTATATGAGGCATATAGTATTGCAATTTAAAAACACGAAGTTTGAAGTTTTTAACAACGGATCAACATCATGGCACACGGATAGTAACCCATAAGTGCTCCGTTCTACTTCTAACTGAAGTCTGAGTCCGAAAAAGCTCCACACAGTGCATAGGCTCTGTAGCACCGGCGAGGATCCTGAAATACTCTGTTTAGATTTTTAAACTCCAAATTTTGTAAGGTTGTATGGCACTCTTTTCGATTTCCGTTTGCCAATGGATTTTTTTATGTGCGCAGCAATCACACGGGGGTTCGATCCCACTACCCAGAGACCAGGGGAGATTACTAGTTAAACCTCTATCGTCCTCTTCAGGATAAAATGTTTTATTTGAAGCCCCACCCTGGCTTTTGCCGGGGGCCTCAATATAGGCAGGCCATAAATATGGCCAAATGTCTGAACGCGGTTTCTGGGACCTCATCCACATGGTGGCACTTTGTGTCATTGGGTGTTTATCGCTTGTGTGATGTCCTGGTGGGGTAGAAAGTCAGTCAGTCAGTCAGATTACTAGAAATCCAAATCCACGTGAAAAAAATCGCAGCCCTTACCGGGGATTGAATGCGGAACCTCTAGAATTCGAGGTGGTAACCATGCCTCGAGATCATGGAGCCCCCTTTTAAAACACTATTCAGAATCCAGGGGTGATGGTATCGATAACCTGTTAGTCGACTTTGCTTACTAGTACATTTTATTGGTGTATAGTTTTGGCTGGCTTAATCTGAAAGCCCAGAACAAATTACACATTTATCCTCAATTCAGATTGGAAGCTGCCTGCCTGATTACTGGCAGACTAATGTTCAAGTCACTGCATCTCTGAAACACAACATTGGTGGTACTTACAATATCTGTTTGTCTGTTAACCAGCCTACATGTCTCCCTGCCTAACTGAAAGTTTATCTGTCTGTCTCTCTGTCAGGTGGTCGGTCGTTCGGTCCAGCTGTCCGCCCGTCTGTCTGTCTGTCTGTCTGTCTGTCTGTCTGTCTGTCTGTCTGTCTGTCTGTCTGTCTGTCTGTCTGTCTGTCTGTCTGTCTGTCTGTCTGTCTGTCTGTCTGTCTGTCTGTCTGTCTGTCTGTCTGTCTGTCTGTCTGTCTGTCTGTCTGTCTGTCTGTCTGTCTGTCTGTCTGTCTGTCTGTCTGTCTGTCTGTCTGTCTGTCTGTCTGTCTGTCAGTACGTCTGTCTGCCCATCTAACTACCCGTCTATGTGTCTGTCTGCCTGCCTGGCTGTGGTCATGTTGTGGAATCCCCATTGAGCTGGGTGTGGGTTGGGGGGGGGGGGCGGTTGTGTTTACTGACTTATGCTGCCTGGTCGCTCGCTCTATTTAAAAGCTGGTATTAAAGAATTTCCTGGTAAAGGCGACCTTTGAAGGCGAAGACAGTTGCCACATGACTTACAATACCGTGGCAATAACCACATAACTTACAAAGTGATGAATGACCTAAATAGTGGAGTATCACCATATGCGCATACGTCTAGTGGTAGGATAGTATGTCCATTACTGCATTCGTGGGCACGGATGGATTCATAGACAGGTCTCTTTGCTCACATAAAGTGATCTCATATAATACAAGTCGGCATCTGTGGCTTAGGCGTTGCGAACGTGCTTTGTAATGCCTGAGTGCCGGGCTCGATGCCAGCTGCAGACTATCTGTCTTGCCTTGGTTTCGACATTGGTACTGAGAGATGACCGTTCAGGAGGCAATGGCAAACTACTGAACGTCAAGTTTGCCTAGAAAAACTACAACAGCAACAACAACAACAACAACAATGATGGAGTTGGTTCAGCAACGTCCTGTAAAGGATACACAACTAACATAACACTATTGCAACAACCCTAATACTTTAACGGAACAGCCAGCGACACACAAAGGCTGGAAATAAACACGAGACAGGTAAACATCTCAACATGTCAGCCACATTAAAGGGCTTCTTATGACAGACCTAAAGTAACATTTAAAGACAGGGAAGTAGATCTAGAAAAGGGGGCCGAAATCTAGGAGTTCACACACACTGGGCCCCTTCACTTAGTGGGGGGTGGAGGTGGCTGCCCCTCCAATGATATTTTCTGGGTGGGCTTGTCATCTTTCTCCTAAACTGTTCAACGCATAATAAGAATAATCTCTCTCTCCCCCCCCCCCCTCCCCCCCCTCACAAAAAAAAAAAACAAAAAAACTGTGTTACAGAACTAAAAGACCCCTCCATGTATAGACATTCTCTTGAGAAGTATTTGTTTACACATTATTTTAATCAAAGCATTTCGAATTACAGAATTCGACCAACCGTAGTTTACTCTGATACGCGCAAGCGTCAGCGATCAGCCGGATGAAACCAGAACTTTGCAAACAGAAAGAAATGGTCGTCACCATACGGTTACCTTGGTGAAACAGACAGTTCATGAATGTAGTCGATTGTGTGTTTCAGTTTCTAGGATTCAATTATTTGCTTTATTTCAATCAATTTTTACTGTAGTATGCACCTGACGAGATACAGCGAAATATGCCAGGCAATAAATTGTGCAGTCTATTGTTTGTATCTTCGTTGTTCACATTATATAAAGTATATTATACTATTTATTTGCCATTCAGCACATTAATAATAATAAAATGTGTTAATAGTAAATATAATAATAATAATATACCTGAAAAATATTCAATGCACAGAACATGGTTAAATGAGGCGGAACCATTGAGGTCATAGAAATATGTATATATAAACAAACAATGTATTGATTGACACTCATAGAAAGAAGTAGAAAGATAGAAGGACACACTAGAAAACATAACAATCGAAAGAATAGTTATAAGGGCTTATCAGCACCGACAAACAAACAATATAATTGTAAATAAATAAACACGAGAATAAAATAATGGCTTCACATTTAAATTAGGTTTACAATGGTACAAAGAGAACATGTTTCAACAGTGATAAAAACAATTGAAGTAAATAACCATTGCACTAGGCGTCAACACCTAATATCTGAGATGGACGGAAGCAAAAAAATTATTTATCCAAAATAATTGTTCACAAATGGTATTGAATATCTTTCAGTGTGCACATATCCACCCATTATTGCTATTCTATTATTCCTCATTAATGCTTACTAATATTCAAGTCAGAGGTTTTGAACGCAGTTTCATAATTCTTCTTCTTCTTTTCCTCCTCCTCCTCTTACCCATTTCTCCTCTTTTTTCTCCATCAACATCATCATCATCATCGTCGTTACGGTCGTCGCATTCTAAACCACTTCCACTGTCGAGTAGACAACTAACGTTTTTACTGATCGTGCTGCATAGCAACACCCAGCAAGCGTCGCTTTGAGCATTCTCACGACTCTGTCATTTCAGCCGAATACATTAATGCCGTGTGCCTGTTTGTCATTTCAGCCGAATACATTAATGCCGTGTGCCTGTTTACTGACTCACTGCAACATTTGCGCGTTTGGGCCGATATGTTAGATGTTTTCAGCCATTTACTGCCGGGTTAGCCTTCCGGGGTTTTTTAATTACAGTATACCAGGATTCAAAGTTAGTTATAGACAATTTGCCAGCAGACTGCATAATCTTGATTGCGACAACGATATCGTAATCGAACTGTTGTGAGGGCAATGACAAACTATTAAAGGTAAAATTGACTTATAAAATCGGCGTCTGTGGCTTAGGCGTTACGAACGCACTTTGTAATGCCGGGATGCCAGGTTCGATCCCAGCTACAGGCCTTGCGCCTTGCGTAGGTTTCGACAGTGGTATGGAGAAACCGACCGTCCGGAAAGCAATGGCAAACTACTGGACGTAAACTTGCTTAGGAAAACCACAACAGCCAAAAAAAAATGCTAGGGTTGGTTCTGCAACGTCCTGTAAAGGATACACAACTAACTTGCCTTATAAAACTGCAAACAAGCCAGTAAATGCAGGGGGCTGGGTTACTCAATGTGTCACTTATATCTGGTGCCCATCCTTGTACTGCTCGTCCCCTGCCCCTCTTTTCTGGTTCCGTGTATTTTCCTTTTTTTTTCTAGTCCGCAGTAGCACTGGATATGGCCAAGATATTTTAATTAAAGGATCGTTGTGCATTTATTTATTATATTATTAGGTATATAATATTACATAACTCTTAACCCTTTAGGGTCGCTGAGGTGTATCGACGGATACACTAGCACACACACAAACCTCTCTGTCTTTCGCTCGTTAAATAAGTGTATAATTTTTGTGTGCTTTCCATTTCTTGATGTTGTCATTCCAAGATCTTGTTACCCCCCCCCCCTCTCCCCCCTACCCCACCACACCCTTTTTTTTATTGACTACCCATCATTATTACATTGGATGATAGGAATTCTGTGTACTCGAAATTATGCACCAGTTACAGCAAAACTGAATTTCATTGACGCATTGAGCGACCACACACACACACACGCGCGCGCGCACACACACACCCCCCACCCCCACACACACACACACTCTCTCTCTCTCTCTCACACATACACACACACACACACACACACACACACTGACAAACACACACAAGATCACTGCCGGTGTTGATCAGGAGCGTAGTCTCTCAGTCGCCAGGTCACAAAGTTCTGTCAGATGACGTCATATTGGTCAGTACAGGGGTGGTGGTGGTCGGGGAGATACTTTCCACGATGAGTGACAGGCAGTTCAGGCTGGAGGGTCCATTACTGCTGGGCTGTTCGAAACCTGAGGAAGGCACGCAAAAAAAGGTTAAGATACATTACATGTGTATGTGCGTGTGTTTGTTTGCGGACGCGTGAGTGAGACACTAGATTAGTGAGTGAGAGAGAGGGAAGAGAGAGAGAGAGAGAGAGAGAGAGAGAGAGAGAGAGAGAGAGAGTGAGAGAGAGAGAGAGAGAGAGAGAGAGAGAGAGAGAGAGAGAGAGAGAGAGAGAGCGAGAGAGAGATCGCGGGCGTGTGAGTTATCTCACTTTCTGATTCATTCATCACTGGCACCTTTTCGTCTTTCCAGACGATAGTGTTATACTATGAGGAGGCATGCGACTCACAGCCCATGGCGATGGCGAGTGTGACTAGCAAGACCCACCCGTGTCAAGAAAAGTTTTCCACAATGATAGCATGGGATTTCAGGACCATTGTTGTCAACATTTGTGTTTAATCCGTATCTTTTCAGACGCTCAGCTCTCATTCTTTCTGCAATCATTTCTTCCTTCAGTCTCCTTCCCTTCCTGATATGCCCTCTCCACACAACACGGTCCATGGCATTTTGTTCCCATGAGTCTGCCTCAATACCTGTATCATTCATTTCCCGCTTGCACACATCTTTATAACGTAGTAGAGGTCGGCCTCGACATCTTCTTCCTGTCTTTAATTTATCATAATGGATGTCCTTAGGGACTATGCCATCCTCCATTCTCCAGGTGTGACCCAGCCATCTGAGCCTTCGTAGACTGATCAGGGAAAAGACTGTTGTAGTACCTGCTCTTTCCAGTACTTCAGTGTTTGTGATTTTGTCCTGCCACTTAATGCCAAGTTTTCTTCTTCTTTCTGATTGACATGAACTGATATTCCTGTTCAAACCGAGGACTCCGTGGCTATGTGTTTTATGCCGTTTGCCTCGTACAGAAGAGGGTCGTATGTTCGTATCACGAATTTCGTCGTTCAGTTTAGGTTCCGGATTCTCTGCTTCCCCTTTTTTTTGTGTTGTGATTTTTGCCAAGAAAGACTCCGGCCAAAACGTCGGATTTTTCTAGCGTGTATACGACACCCTTCGTTGCTTGCATCATTCAGTAGCCTTTTAGCTACTATGAGAAATCAACGATACTATTACATAAATGACACATTTCCTCGTCCATTTATTTTCCGTTCTTCTAAGTAAATAATCGTTGACCATGATAACCACCACGACTGGAATGTCCACGATTCACTTCCATTCAAAGAAGGCTTCATAGCCGCAACGTTCACTTTTTGTGTGTGTTTGTTTTATGGTTTGGTTTTTTAAAAATCTTTCCTGGATATTCGTATAGCTTACCAGCTGTTCATTAATTTTACATACCTTGTGTGTCCCACCAGCCCAGAACAGCTACTATATATTTGTGCCTGTCACACTCGTCCATACTATTTTTTATTGTTTGTAGTATTGTTTATTCTATGTACGTGCTGAAGAAGGCTCCATAGCCGTAGCGTTCACGTTTTGTTTGCATTTGTTATATGGTGCAGCTCGCTGATTTACTTTTCATTCGGTTTTATATCTTCACTTCCATTCAACAACACTGACTCTGCAAAGCACATATATAAAGAGAGGCAGCACAATTTTGACGAATGTAAACAATTGAGCGAAAATTGACAATGAGAGATAAATGACACGGCGGATACAAAAACACCAATCTCCGTGAATGTTTGTGCTCAAATTTCGCTCTTCCCATTAAACGATCGTTAATACTGATAAGCGCCACGGTTGGGCTGCACGTCACTACATGTGTGCAAATCATCATCATTACAACCATCAACAACAACATCATCATCATCATCAGGCTCATCTCATTCTAAGCCGTTTCACTGTGGAGTAGACATCTAGCGTTTGTTTACTGAGGTGTCGCATAGCAACACCGGGCATGCGCCGCTTTGAGCATGCTCAGACTCCGTCATTTCCTGTTTTCCTCATCTCAATGTGTGGTGATATACATGGTTATTGCGGTCTATTTTACACTGACTTCGGCCACTGTGTCGCCAGCTGGCTTGCCGGTAGACGACTTCGTCGCAGGTCGGGCAGTATTTGTGTCTGTCTTCTTTGATCATATCAACACAGCAGGAGTCCTTTTTCGGGGGGTGTTGACGGCGTGCGATGCTAAGCCATTTTATATAGCGCACACAACCTAGCCACAATTATAACCTAACATTCTCCATTCGGAGATGCTGCCTGAGCGAGACGATTTTTTTTCAAGCAGAGCACCTACCTACTGTCTATTTTCAAATAATTTAATGACTTGTAATATGTGTAATACTATTTTGTTTTGTTTTTGCCTTTTGTGGCAAGTGTGCATCATTCAATTTTTGACTACATTTGCAAGAGTGGGAAAAGGTGGGGAAAGAGGGGGGGGGGGCGGAGAACATGTCTATTACCCTTGCTGAAGTCAGATGTGGAAAGGCGCAGATGTCGCTGCATATCTGTATACTATAGGATTATGTGCTAATCACCCATTCATGCACGAACGCGAACAAAGAAGAAGAAAAAAGAAGAAGAAAAAGGAGAAAAAAGAAGAAAAAAGAAGAAAAAGAAAAAGAAGAAAAAGAAGAAGAAGAAGAGGAAGAAGAAGAAGAAGAAGAAGTAGAAGAAGAAGAAGAAGAAGAAGAAGAAGAAGAAGAAGAAGAAGAAGAAGAAGAAGAAGAAGAAGAAGAAGAAGAAGAAGAAGAAGAAGAAGAAGAAGAAGAAGAAGAAAAAGAAGAAGAAGAAGAAGAAGAAAAAAGAAGAAGTAGAAAAAGAAGAAGAAGAAGAAGAAGAAGAAGAAGAAGAAGAAAAAGAAGAAGAAGAAAAAGAAGAAGAAGAAGAAGAAGAAGAAGAAGAAGAAGAAGAAGAAGAAGAAGAAGAAGAAGAAGAAGAAGAAGAAAGAAGAAAGAAGAAAAAAGAAGAAAACAGAAGAAGAAGAAGAAGAAGAAGAAGAAGAAGAAAACAGAAGAAGAAGAAGAAGAAGAAGAAGAAGAAGAAGAAGAAGAAGAAGAAGAAGATGAAGAAGAAGAAGAAGAAGATGAAGATGAAGAAGAAGAAGAAGAAGATGAAGAAGAAGAAGAAGAAGAAGAAGAAGAAGAAGAAGAAGAAGAAGAAGAAGAAGAAGAAGAAGAAGAAGAAGAAGAAGAGGAAGAAAAAAAAGAATTTTTTTCTTTATGTAATTAATTTTTTTCTTTCAAATACTAAACGGGAGAGTTTTATAAATCTGATTACCTCCCCATTAAAATAAAGATTTACTAAAAGTGTTTTTTAGTAAAACAAAAACAAAAAACAACCAAACAACTAACTAACTAACTAACTAACTAACTAACTAACTAACTAACTAACTAACTAACTAACTAACTAACTAACTAACTAACTAACTAACTAACTAACTAACTAACAAATCTACCAAACAACCAATTGAATCGGCAATCAACCACCTATCAAACAATGAACCAACCAATCAAAGACTCCGTGAAAACCATCTGCGGCAGTCATTCAACTCACAACATCCTAGTTACCACCAACAGAAACCATGATGAACCAAACCTTTTAGTGACAACTGAAAACAACTTATGACTTTCAGCTGTTAAACAAACGCCCACCTCCAAACCGCTGCTGCTAACGTGAAATATTTTGCCTACCTCATTATCCACAAAATTAATTGCACTAGTATTTTCTTGCCGTTCTATGCGCCAGACTTTCCACGTAGCTTCTCGTCTTCAATAAACTTCCGCAACTCTTCTTCATTGTTTATTTTTACCCACAATATGGTTGGTCTCTTTAACGAAATAAATGTCTTTACAGAAGGCCATGAACTTTTTTTTCTTCTTCTTCTTAGACAAGGTAATAATTTGATCATGTGACCACTTTCATTCTCAAAGAGAAAAAGCAAAAGTTTTCCGACACCAGTAGGCAACGGAGAAAACATTAGTGGCTCAACGAAATAAATGTATTAGCACTCGAAAGGGCGAATTCCCTTCTGACACAGTAATGGGGAAAGGGGAAAGTTAGCGTGCTTTTTAGTTTTCCAGAAGTCGGAGTAGTGAAAAGCTGAGCGGTTTGAAAGAAAAATGTGAAATAAAGAACAGGGAAAGCATTATTGGTTGGGGGGAACAGAAAGAAGTAGCTGAAGACAGACATTTTCACAACGTGAAACAGAAGGAGAATGAGTATGGAAGAGATTTCCCGCAACGCGAAGCCGCTGATAGTGCGGCGTAGACGGTGTAAAACGGACAGGGACTTCCAAGACGCGAGACATCTTAAGGTTCATGTCGACTGAGAAGTGGTGATGTGGCTGTAGCGTATGCGATCTAATTGTGGAACTGGGGGGGGGGGGGAAGGGGGAGGTGCTCGGGAGGTTGGCACAAGGACACCGAAACATGTTAGCTTAGGGGCTAAGGAAGGGGTCCCGGGGCTTTGGTGAGATTCATCCACCCCCTAAAGGTATAGGGAAACCACGTTGTTCCCCCTAATCTTGTATAGAAGTTTTTTTCTTTCAGCTGAAAGAACCCCCCCCCCCCCCCCCCTTTTTTTTTTTCTCCCTTTTTTGCCTAAACCTCAAAAGTGGTGCAATAAAAGCAATAATTGGCAGTTTACATTCATATATATGTCCTTCAGGACGTAATTACTACTACTGCTGCTGTTGTTGTTGTTGCTGCTGCTGCTGCTACTACTACTACTACCACTGTTACTACTACTACTACTACTACTACTACTACTACTACTACTACTACTACTACTACTACTACTACTACTACTACTACTACTACTGTTACTACTACTACTACTAATACTACTACTACTACTACTACTACTACTATTACTACTACTACTGTTACTACTACTACTACTACTATTACCACTACCACCAACACCTCCACTACTACTGCTTCTGCTACAATTAAGCACTTGGAGAAAGCTTAGGCCTACTGAGACAATGTCTTCCTGGAACATATGGGACTGGGCTCAGCAAAGGACTATTTTCAAGACCATTGCGTATCGGGAATTTGATTTA